GTCTATTATCAGCAAGGTCCTTCGCCTGCAGTGTTGCTGTGCCTAGGCTAAGCGCTCACTGGCGTGGGACGGGCTGCTCCAGCATCATTGCTTCTATGTTCCCATGACACTATTCTCTTTGGGCAGCCATACTTGTCTTCTTCTGGCCTGGCTCTGGTGTAGCTCCAGAAATGCAGTTCCAGTTTGCAATTCACAATGCTGGAACTATACAGAGCTTAAGACAGTCCATTTTCCTAGTTGTGAGTTCTTACTTTCCGCTGTGTCCCCACCCTTATATTTGTGTGTGTGTGTGTACCTTCAGGTTTTTGACCCCTGGCGACTGCCTGGTCTAGCCCCTGCAGTCTTCTTGGCAAGGTTTTTTGGAAGTGGTTTGCCATTGCCTCCTTCCTAGGGCTGAGAGCAAGTGACTGGCCCAAGGTCACCCAGCTGGCTTGGTGCCCAAGGTAAGACTAGAAGTCATGGTCTCCTGGTTTCTAGCTGGTGCCTTAACCACGACACCAAACCGGCTTTCAAACTGGTGTATTTGGCAGTACAGAAATACCATAAATAAATTCAAAATGCTGGTGGTCACCTTCAGGGCATAAGGCCCGTGTTACCTCCACCACTGCCTGCTCCGAGTAGAATTTGCCCATCCAGTGGGATTGGGAGGAAAAAGCAAGTTGATGGTCCCTTGGTTGAAGGAACGCCATCTTCAGGTCCCATTCTTGTGACTTAATGATTGCCCCCTACCCTTTGGGATCGCTTCCACTCTGCTCCCTCCCTGTTAAGTTTTCAGTGAGCCACGAAGACCATGCTTGCTTGGGGAAGAGATCCAACGCTGAGCCATGTTGGTTTGACCAGGATGTTATAAGTGTTTGCTGTTTCTTCTCCTTTCACCATCTGAACAACTGTTCACCTTACCACCCTATGCAGATTGCAAGCCATCCAGGCTTCCCTAACCAGAGTGGTGGGAAAAACTGAACAGAATACAGCAGTGTTTCTCAACCTTGGCAACTTGAAGATGGGTGGACTTCAACTCCCAGAATTC